CAGCAAGCAGTTTCGGAGTTCGAGCGCCCACTTCGTTCGCTGGTCTTGAGTGTGCGACGGACTAACTCAAGTCCTCTATAGCAAAGACCTTAGCCCGTGTTGTGATTTATCCTTCCGTCACCACATCCAATTTTGTCCAATCATGCAATTGTATTTTCAGCCCCGCCACCTTAATTCAAATCTCGTCACATTCGAGCAGCCATTGGCGTCGTCTTTTGGGTTTTTCCTCTCGGCACATTCTAATTTTTCATTGTATTGGGAAATGCATAGGAACCGAATGTATAAATGCTCGTGCAGAGGGGGAGCTTTGTCGGGCCAAAGAATCGACAGCATTCAATGTCGGAATCACAAAGCTCATAGTGCGGAGGGCCAGACGGGCCATCAAATGTATAAAGAGGCCCATGTGTTGTATTTTGTTTTCTACGCCTCACAACATTCAAAGTGAAAATGCATAGATGAGTGTAGACGACGGGGGAGGTTCGGGAGAGAGGCAGAAAAACATAGAGTTAGTTCGAGTCCGGATGCATCCGAGTATGCGGGCAGAACATCACGCCACACAAGGAGCAAAATGACGAAAGCGAGATATTCAATCACGAAACAGGCGCCCCAACAACGGGGACGTTCGTGATAATTGAAATCCAATGAGAAAGAACAATATTGTCGACGACAAACACGCCGGGGACATGACAAGTTCACCCGGAGATATCCTGGCAGTGACAGTCAGTTCTGCTCTGAACCAAACCGAGAACACCCACCAGTCCCTCACGGAAAAAATAAAAAGGAACAAATTTCGTCCGGAGAAGACCGAAATGTTCTTCTACGTCAACCCTTCTACACTACATGATCAACAAAGAGATAGACGCTTACCTACCAACATCGCAAATCGCCAAAGCTAGTCTARCTCTGATAGAGGAGATGTGTCTATGGGAGAAACCAAAAGGTGGACGTAAACCTCTCGCCAAACAGGAAGCGAACATCAACATGAACACCCCACAACTAGCCCCGTCGTGCTGCCGAGGGACACCTTTCATGCTGACCCCGCGAGCGAAGTGGTCGAAAGTGCAACCATCACCGGTGACACTTGCCACCGTGTTCAAAAATTTAACAGTTTTATCCAAAAGTGCGGAGTAGAGGGAATCTTTGGATGACGAACACGAGAAAGAATCATAGATTTCGATAACACGTCTAGAGAAGTCAATGGCCAAAAGGCTCCAGTGTTCGCCGTCCTTGTGCACCGGTGCCAAGATGAGGTCATGAGACAGGAGGTCGACATCTTTAGCCCATCTGAGAACAGTTGTCGGACCTCGCAGAAGCAGTGAATAGGCGAAGAAGGAGTTAAAGGTGTATGTCTTCATGGTAGCGGCAGTCTGGCCGCAGTCGTTCAGTAGCATCGCCATGTAGAAATTGACAACCTCATCGTTGAGATCCCCGGATCTATCCACGAGTGCGACGATGTCCTTGACGGATACCTGTAAACTGTGCGACGGCAAACGCGCGACGATGATAGTGAGCGGCAACCGGGAGCAGATAACGTCTTCAAGGACCGCTCTTCCATCTCGAGGAAACCCTGTTCAACAAACACCTGCAGCATACAGCAAGCACAAAGGACGGGGCACTATGAGAAAATGCCGTCCTAGCGGCCATGGTCCGAGGAACCGCTACTCTGTGGTCCGAAAAGTTCACGCATAACGTCACCCCTACTTCTGGACCTTCTACACGCAGTTGATTTTAAACTAGCACTGTCCTTTATATCCCTGCAAGCCTCGAGAAGGAATTCCTTGCAGTCTTTTTCGGCAACACCCGCTGCCTCTGCAACGAGTCTTGCGCGGGAACCAATACGGGCACGACTACCCTTCTGGGAGGGCCTCGAGGCTTAGTGTCCCCAGGAAACGCATCAGTGACATTGCGACGACCAGTGCCTCCCGCAACCAGGACTGACAACCTGGCGAGGGCAGGCGGCTCCTGCGACATGGGTGTTTATCCACGAGTTCGTCGACCTGTACAAGAAATAGCCACCCAGACAGTTCAGCAGGAGATCAACAACACAAGTTCGCAAGAGCAACCAAGCAAACAGCACCTCACGAAGCACATCGTCACAATCCAGTTGGCGGCCACCTATACACCTCCCCGAAATCGATGAAGCAAACAACACTTCACGAACGGGCTGACGAGCGGGAAGAAAGCAGAGAAAGTCAGTGCTTACCAGGCCTAGCTACCACTTCACCAGAGCCCACCGACGGCAGTCCCAGCACGATTGGCACCCCTGCGTGCGTCGACGAGGCGACGACGTGCTCCAAACCCACAGGGAAACTTAACAGGCTCGAGATGTCAGCGTCGATGACCGTAGACGGTATATTCGTCTCCGGACAAAGATCGTCGACGTCCACAACATCGGCAGGTTGTGTTTTCTCCATTGCCACTGTGTCGTATTGTGTTGGGCTCAATGTCCCATGGATGTCCAACAACACCTCTCCCCCCCTTAACTTCTTATCCCCGTACGCTGTGTCTTTGTCGTCGTCACTCAAATAGAGAAATCTATCTCCAACAGCGTCAGAGGCCTTCTTCAGATCGTCCTCCCCCGTCGCCTCGTTGTGAAGGGCGGAGTACAAGGGATCGTCATATCCCGGCTGAACTGGTAGCTCCATCCCGACGTCCTTGAGTGTCAGATCAATCCGTTCGTCGGCGGAATTGTCCTTGTCCAAAGTCGTCAGTAGTCGACAACCCTCAACGCCTGCCAGTTGAAGTCCTTCGTCCGTGTGCCTCGGATGAATCCGAATCACGGTCGTCTCCAAAGATGCATCAGGGAGGGAGATGTTCACAGGGCCCTGGCTCGGATTCATCCGAGCCCCCGCAGTTTCCAATGATGCCGACATGACCGCTTTCACCGGGGAGTCGCTTCCACCTCCGGTACCTCGTTGCCCGCCGCCTTCACCATCCCCGTCGTCGTCCTTTCCGCGAGACTTGCGCTTCACAACTCCTGCCGGCGGGGTGACCCCAGGCAACTCCCAACTCACTTGCGTAATTAACGGGCTTGACGGAAGGGCGTAGAACGCGGAGGACACTTCCAGCCATTTATTTGACTGCAAGAACTCGAACAGCGTGTCCCCGTATTCGCGAAGAGCAGGGTCGTCCTTATTTCGTCGATTGACCTCACTTAATCTCTCCAATACCGCCTCGTGGGCGCGAGATTTGAATGTCTAGAGGTCCCAACGATCGTCATATATCCACCCTTCACTTACGTCCCTCACAGCCACTGCCCATTCGCCGTCGAGAAGGACTGGTTGGAAATGGTCTGGGTGCCACACGATATCATGGCCCCAATCTTCGGTTGTGGAAGTCGCAGGAGCCTTGAGATGCGGATGGTCCGGAGGAACTGGATGCCGGGTCGAAGACGTACGGGCTGAGGCGTGAGACGAATAGGCTCCCCTGGCGAACTCCTCAGACGGGACAACCCACCCCTCTTGACAGGCGCTGAGGAGGACACGGGCGTGGGACCGCCCGAGGTAGGTGTAGCGAGAGGTGTCCCCGGTTTGCATACTGATGGCGACTCGGAAATTTGGGCGTTGAAGATGGTCAATTCTTCGTCCAAATCGAAGAGGTCGTCCTGAACGCTCTCCTCCTGCTCAGTCTCGATATTGAAGTCGTCCTCCTCACCGAATGCCAACTTGTACTTATCCAAAGTGAAGTCGGTCGGATCGACAACATCCTCGTTAAAAAAGACATATTCCAGCCTCTTAATGAAGCTCACAGCGCCGGCCCGACTCGCTTCGTGGTAGCCCTGGAGGACCGCAATGGCGACTTCCTTCCGCACCACGTACTGCGGGTCAAATCTCAACCTTGGTTGTTCGCCGTAAAGGAAGGAGTAGACCTGACGCCTTTTCTTCGGAGTCAACTTGAAGAACATGTCCTTGTTCGAGTCATAAACGGGCTCGACCACGACATGGTGGAAATCACATGGGTAAGCCTTGGACGACACTTCGTGGGTGACATACTGCACAGTGTATTCGAGCTGCGTTGTGTCCCTATCCACGGCCAAGACTTGCCTTCCCTGCTGAAGCAGACTCCACACCACCTGCGCGTGCGGCTTGCCCAAGAACAGCACGGCATCCGCCACACCACAGAAGAAAAGAAGTTGATTGCACAACTGATTCGGATTCCGCTCGCCGTCCTTGTACAGAGCCCCCCTCTGAGTCAGGTTTCCGATGTCCACGAAAGTCAAAGACTTGAAAGACTTCTCCTCCACATCCGTGGGTGTCACTTTCTGTTTCCTCCGGAGAGCAGCGTCGTCGTCTTCAGCAACAGCTCCCTCATACACCGGGTGAGTCAATAGGTAAGGATCCTCGCCTTTGAAAAGGATGTGCATCACATCCGGATCCTTCCAGACGCTGTTTCCGAAGTGATGCGTCTTCTTCGATGCCGTCTTCCGAACTCACTTCCCCGTGTAGCATCGGGTAGCCCCAAGTGCAGACAAACATGTCATGAAGAAGAGGTTCTACCGGCACGGGACGAATACCACCAATGTCCAGTAGTCCTGATAAACGAAGCCCAGCAACTCACTCAAAGACGCGAATGCCCCATAGTCCCATTGCGCACGGTCAATAGTTCCGCACAAGTCGAGCACGCAAGTGTGGGAGCGTAGCTGATGCCCTAGTTTTCCCAGCGCCGCCTTATGATCTATGGCAGTCAATGGGTCGACGTTAAACTGGGCCAGCGTCGTCAAGGCGCTTGTCCTTGTCCACATAATGTTGATGCATTCATCAACGCCCCGAGGACTTTTTTTGCCTTTGGCGCGATCTCCAGTGATCACCGAAAGGACGACACGCTTCCACTCCGCCGGGAAATGCTGGTCGTTGACGAGGGCCGCCGTTCTCTTGATGTTGTTGTCGTGATGACACCCGAGAAACTATGTGAAAAATTTCCTGCTCTCGTTCCAAAGCTTGTCGTCGAGACCTCTGTCCTTGAATTCTTCGAACAGTTGCTTCTTGGACCTGAAGAACGTAGAGTTGGCATTCCACTCCCGCTTATCCATTTCCTCGTACTCGAACTCCACGTAATGTCACAGCCTCAGCATAATCCGGTCCATTTTTATTATGTCGACCATCTCCTTGACACCGAATTTCTCCTGCTCGGCCAACTTTTTGCTACTCGTTTGAACCCACACGACGTTAAGGTTCAAGACGCCGTTCAAAAGCCTTTTCTTCTTGCGGTCCGTCAAGTCCACCAATTCCTTCCACCAGTGGACATCCGGCTCCGGAACTTGGACGTAGAAAGTTTTCTCCTCCGCGCCTTTCTTTGGCTTCCCCTTCCCCTTTTTCGACGACGGGTCGTCCACCTTCACGTACCAGACGTGTTTCTTCAGCCCCTGGCTGTCAGTCACAGTGGAGAGGCCTAGCTTGGCCACCTCCTCATGGGTGGGCGGCTTTGCAGTCTAACGCCGGCCGTCGGAAGCAAGGAGTTTCCCTTTCGACCACTCCTCATAGAACTTCAACCCCTAAGCGAAGACGGAGTCATCTGCCATGGCCAGCGGGAGGTAGTATCGAAGTTTCTCAGCCCATTCCTTTCTTTTCTTTGCTTCCGTTGACAGGTTTCGGATAGGCGTGTACGGCGTCTTCTTCATTGCCAACGCCATGAACCGCACCCACTTTCGCACCTCGTCCTGTTTCTTCGAGGCATTGCCGAGCACCACACGTGGTTTGCCCTTTATTTTCCAGATATTGCGAATGTCCCGCATAGACAAAACCTGCAAGCGCGGTGGATTCTTCTTGTCTTTCATGTTGTCTTCGCAGCTGACATGGGCGTAGCCGTCGAACTCGTCGTCGGGGAAGTAGATCGGTCTGAAAGGCCATTTACAGAAGTTGTAGTAATCAAACACGGGATGGTCTTTCACCATCATCGCCGCCCTCGCGTAATGTTGTCCACACACAGGATAATACCAGTATTTCTCCAGGTGTGAGCTGTCGAAGTCAGCAGGCAGCACGCGCACAGCAGACTCGTCGTTCTCTAGAGGCGTGTCGATCGGAGTGAGAACGAAAATGGGCTTCGTGATCTCATGTCTTTACGTTCGTAGCAGTCGATTATAGCCGACGCGATGGTATCAACGAGGAACTCGTCCAAGGATCGGTGGTTGTACGCGTCTTCCCAGTCTGGAATAGCTAAAATTCTTTCGGGATGGATGTGCAACACGACGTCCTTCTGCACCCATGTCTGCATCTCGAGGAAGAACGCATTGTCGAGGTTAAAGGCGTTGAGGTTAATCTCCACATCATCATCCCCCTCCCCGTTGTCGCCCTCGTCTGCTTTTTTCCCCCTCGATGATTTTGCCCTTTTCCCGGAAGACTCACCGGTTCTTCGCTGTGTCGACGAGTCTTTTGGCATTTCATCCCCACCTCCAACCCTTTTCCTCTTCTCAACGGAACCGCCCTCTCGTGTTGTTGGCGTCCGAGCACTCCCTCCTACCTTTCTCTGCCTTTTCAGAGCACCTAGTCCCTCTCGCTCTTCCTCATCCGGCAAGTTGCGCTTGCCTACTGACTGAGTCTTTTCAGCCGATCTCTCACCGAACAGCCCGTGCTCGGACACCTCCTCCTCACCGGTGACGTTCCCACTTGCTTCTCATTCCTGGCTCAACTCCGTCTGTAGTTCCCCCGGCGCTGGTCGGGCCCGGCAAGTCGTCTCATCTGACCCATGCACCTCTCGAACCTGCGGACCACCCGCTCGATCTCCAGGCGAAACCTCGGCCACCTGCATGCCACGAACGAACGAACCGATCCTTTCGACCAGACCACGAGGAGTCGTCGATTCTAAGCCCTGTCGCAACCGTTTGCCATCACCGCCTCCATGTGGCGTCGACTCCCCAAGCAAACTGTGGCGGCGAGATACATGCAAGCCCGGTTTCAAAGCAGCACGAGGATGGTTGTCCTCCGAGTCGTCTGACTTGCCCACCTCTTGATCAGGAGGCGTAGCTGGCAGACCGCCCTGACCTCCCATCTCCCTTTCAGAGCACTCTCCTCCCACGAACCCAACAGGACCACTGATCGATGTTCCAGATCCGACGTCCACGGCACTGACAGAGGTACCAGATTTCGCCCAGACCTCGAGGAAGTCTGTGACGTGAACGGCCTCGTCGTGCCCTGGCGCTAGCGAGAGAAAGTGAGGCAAAGACATCGCACGACGGCCGTACCCGCCGAACATCCTCCCGGCAACCTTGAATCCCTTTGCGATGCCGTCAACAGAACCATCACTTCGGTAATGCTTCTTCAACGTAAACTTGAAATTGAATTCGCCATCGTCGACCCACTGGACGATGGACCCTGCGAGACGCGTTCTGTCGGCGCGAACGGCGACGAACAAGAGCGGCCCACACGGTGGTTGCAACGGGTGGGAGCCGTCCTGGCTCGCCCAGTCCAAATCCCAGATACGTTTGCTGTAGTCGCACCACAAGTTTTGAGCACGTCGTTCTTCCTCCCCACCTCCAACTCCCCGACTCGTTTCCCTTGCCGGCGACGACGTCGTCCCTCGATGCTCCTCTCCGTGCGGGGCGGAACCACCAGCGGAGCGGCTTCGTCCGTGTGTAGCCATTTCCTGAAACACACGGAGGAAATGAACCCACATGCACTCAGAACAGTCAGCACGTCCCAACATCAACCACGACCCACAGCACGTATTCTGTCATTGGTCACCCGGACTCCAAAAGAACGAAGTTCAGTCATAGTTAGACGACAGTGGTCCACAAGCCTGGACGTTTCGGATGAATCCGAGGCATCGTGAGCCATCCTCGTCACACTGCCCTTAAGAGAATGAATGGTCGAAAACGAAGACCGTGGGACAGACCGGATTCATCCGAAGCAGGCGCAGTTGAAAAACCGATGTCGCATAGGCACCTGCACCGGGAAAAGCAACACCTTGCAAGGAGGCCCTAGAACGCTGATACGGCAGACGAAGACGAATACGTTGTCATCCGAAGTCGACAAGTGGATTGTAAAGTCCGCCGTTGTAGTTCGGATAAATCCGAGCTACAAAGCGGTGTGGACCTCCCCCTGTCGGCCCGTACGAAACCGAACTCGAGTTTTCTTGTCCTTTCGAGTCGGTAACGGTTGTGACTAGGATGCATCCGAATTCGAACAGCGCGGTTTCGGATGAATCCGAGGCATCGTGAGCCATCCTCGTCACACTGCCCTTAAGAGAATGAATGGTCAAAAACCAAGACCGTGGGATAGATCGGATTCATCCGAAGCAGGCGCAGTCGAAAAACCGATGTCGCATAGGCACTTGCACCGGGAAAAGCAACACCTCGCAAGAAGGCCCTAGAATGCTGATACGGCAGACGAAGACGAATACGTTGTCATCCGAAGTCGACAAGTGGATTGTAAAGTCCGCCATTGTAGTTCGGATGAATCCGAGCTCCAAAGCGGTGTGGACCTCCCCCTGTCGGCCCGTATGAAACCGAACTCGAGTTTTCTTGTCCTTCTGAGTCGGTAACGGTTGTGACTCGAAAGCATCCGAATTCGAACAGCGCGGTCCAGAGACGGTCGTCCACAAGAGGTCATCTACAGCACGTGTTTTCGTCACCGACCTGCGAGCACTGGGTTAACCCTATCCTGCCGGAGGTTCGGTTCGGTTGAACCTGAACCTCGCAAATGTGGCTCGGATTAATCCAAGACGGGGACCGGCGGATGGACCCCACGGTCTGTTGACGCCCATCCAGCCATCCAAGCTTCCGTTATTCCCCAACTGTCGTTGGGTCCAACCGAATTTTGCACGATGTGTCTTCGTCCTTGAGTGTTTAAGCTGGGTGTGGCTCGGATTCATCCGATTTCGACAGAGGCTGTCCCAATACCTGCGACCACGACAGGCTGCGCCGACACCGTGTGCTTTCGACGTACAAGTTTATCAGACCGTGCGACGTCGTCAATACCCTCTGCGCATGTGGTTCGGATTAATCCGACTTCGCCGAGGCGCTTCGCTTTGTTGTCGCCCCACCACACACCGGACCTCCCCGCGATTGCCGTAGTATGTCATTATAATATGTGCGTCATCACGGGGGATATCGTCGTCGTCGTGAGTTTTAGTTGGTTGTTGCTCGCCCAATCCAAACAACAGACACGTTTGCTGTAGTCGTAGCACAAGTTTCTAGCTCGTCTTTCTTCCACCGAGCGTAACCATCTCGACTCGTTTTAGTTGCATGAATCTGAGGCATCATTGACCCTCGTCATCAGACTGCCCTTCTTAGAGCGAATGGTCGAAGACGAAGACAGCGTGGTAGTTAGGACACATCCGAACTGGGCAGAGTTGAAAGACCGACGTTGTGACTCGGATGCATCCGAATTAGGCCGACCACTAGAGGACGACATCGGCACGGCATGTTTTCCTCAATGACCTGTGAGCAGAGGGTGGACCCTATCCTGTCGGAGGTGTGGTTCGGA